CTGGTTGTAGGCTAAAAAGAGGGCTGAACCATCCCTCCAGTCACCCCCATGCTTGATCCTTAATATGGGATAAAACTGGGCAGTGACATTATCATGCAGCTTTGAGTCTCCTTTAAGAGAGAAAAATGGGATGTAAATTATATTATTATTATTATTATTATTATTATTATTATTATTATTATTATAATGATACGATAGCATATTATTAAGTAATGACATTAATTACTATTAAAGGTTACTATACTAATAAGAATACGACGATGATATCATAATATTCTTATTAAATAATAATATTAAATATTAATATAATAAGAACACGATGATGGTGGTATTATTATCATATTATCATTATTAAGTAATAATAGTAAAGGTAAAGGTTTTCCCCTGACATTAAGTCCAGTTGTGTCCGACTCTGGGGGTTGGTGCTCATCTCCATTTCTAAACCGAAGAGCCGGCGTTGTCCGTAGACACCTCCAAGATCATGTGGCCAGCATGACTGCATGGAGCACCCTCACCTTCCCGCCGGAGCGGTACCTATTTATCTACTCACATTTGCATGTTTTCGAACTGCTAGGTTGGCAGAAGCTGGGGCTAACAGCGGAAGCTCACGCCGCTCCTCGGATTCGAACCTGCGACCTTTCGGTCAAGAAGCTCAGCAAGCTCCGTGGCTTAATCCACTGCACCATCGGGGGCTCCTCAGTAATAATATTAATTATTAAATATTAATATAATAAGAATACGACGACGATGATATTACCATCATATTATCATTATTAAGTAATATTAATTATTAAATATTAATAGAATAAGAATACGATGGTGATGATATTACCATCATATAATCATCATTAAGTAATAATATTATCATTATTAAATATTAATATTATAATAATACGATGATGATACGTCATATTGTTATTAAGTAATAATATCAATTATTATTAAATATTAATATAATAGTACGATTATGATATTATCATATTATTAATAAGTAATTATAGTATTATTAAATATAATAATAATAATATTTTTGTCGTGTCAGAAGCGACTTGAGAAACTGCAAGTGGCTTCTGGTGTGAAAGAATTGTCCGTCTGCAAGGACGTTGCCCAGGGGACGCCCGGATGTTTTGATGTGTTCCCATCCTTGTGGGAGGCTTCTCTCGTGTCCCCGCATGAGGAGCTGAAGCTGATAAAGGGAGCTCATCCGAGCTCTCCCCGGATTCGAACCTGCGACCTGTCGGTCTTTAGTCCTGCCAGCCATAATAATAATAATAATAATAATAATAATAATAATAATAATAATAATAATAATAATAATAATAATAATAGGAATTGAAAGGAAAAGATTAAATTCCTCTTTTATTGGGCTTCTTTTTAAAAAAAAATACACAGGAAGAGCAGGAGACACATAAAAGACCCATTTACAACAGGGAGATAGTTCCTGGAGGAAGCGAGTAGTCTATTCGTATTGCTTTGGGACTTTGTCAAACCCGATAAATCGGGGAAGAAAAGGGATAAGTATTGGGAAATCCGAAAATGAACGGTTTTAGGTTTGGGGTCTCCCCACCGTCCCCCAGCAAATGCCTCCTCTCTTGAGCCTCCTTTGCGCCCCCTTTGCTCCCCCCTGCTGCCCTTCAAAAGGAGGGCCTTCCTCAGTCTCGCCGTGTATTTTTTTTCCCCCTCCGGGAAGGAGGCTAGAGGTGAATCCCTTTCCCCTCCTCAGCCCTCCTCCATCAAAGGGCCCAAAGCGAAGGACGTGGCGAGACACTCATTTAATGACAAGTAATTGACAAATCCGAGAGGCCGCATTACCACTGGGCTAGGAGAGTATTAATTATTGAAAAACCATTAGCCTCTGTGTGTGTCCTCCAGCGATCCCATCTTGTTCAGGAAATATAAGCTGTCACGTCCCTTTAGATGGAGGGAAATCAGATGAAGAAGTCCCCCTCCTCCACCACCACCCTTTCCACGTCCCCGCTCCAACGCAATGGAGGAGACAGACCTCACTCCCCAAATCTGAGAAATAAGGGGGGCTCTCGCCTTATTTTCTAGTGAAACATGCCCTTGGATCTGACCCCCTCCCCTCGGAATGCCTGTAGTTTGAAAGAAGTGGGAGAGAAGGGCGCTTGATTGTTCAGATTCCATTAGAATAAGGGAAACTGGGCAAAATGCCCACGCGATGAACATTGTGCGCGATCGAGCCGCGAAAAGAGCTCCTTGTGCTACTCTAATTATAGAGATTATAGAGATTAAAAACACACACACAAAAGACCTCCATTTAGCAGGACTTTTCGGAGATCCAGTATTCCCCAAACCAAGTGTGAAATGGATATCTATGGGAATACAGGCCAATAAACAACATCTAGACGAGCTATAGACGAGGACGTTTTGGACGTTCTATACCCTAGACGGTATAGAAGCCGCGCGCCAAAGGAGCCCTTCCCTCTGTAGCGGAAAGAGTAAGCTGCCCACCGGAAGTTCCCCACACAACTGTAAACAGTTAGATTTCTCTCACGCTCCCATTGCGCCATCCTAGGATTTGTCATCTCATGAAATGCCCCAAACTCTTTTCCTGGACGACAGCACCTCTGACAGAGGGTTCTCAGTGCCTTGAGGAAACTACAAATCCCAGGATCCCATAAAAGTAAAAACCACAGAATAATTACAGTGGCATTATAAAATTTGGGAAGGTGCTATGAGGATTTCTCTCATTTCTTCCAAAGCTAAGGCTGCCCTTATAGCCCAGGATCTGATCCCAGGTTATCTGCTTTGAACTGGATTATGTGGGTCTCCACTGCCAGATGATTTAGGATAGATGGATAAATAGATGAATAAATAGATAGATAGAGTGGCAGACAGACAGACAGACAGACAGATAGATATGACATACATACAGGGAGGGAGGGATAGATACACAAGAGGATGGATGACTGGATAGACAGACAGACAGATAGATAGACAGACTTCAGCCCTCCCTCCAGGTGTTTCCTAACAGCTGGTAATAATAATAATAATAATAATAATAATAATAATAATAATAATAATATACTATACTAGGATTTGTCTTCTAATGAAACCCCCCAAATTCTGTTGGACTTTTCCCCTGAACTACACCACCTCTGACAGAGGGTTCTCAGTGCCTTGAGAAAACTACAAATTTCAGAATCCGATAAAATAAAAGTGACAGAATAATTACAGCAGCATTACAAAATTTGGGAAGATGCTATGAGGATTTCTCTAATTTCGTCCAAAGCGGAGGCCCTTTCCACACTGCCCTTATATCTCTGAATCTGATCCCAGGTTATCTGCTTTGAGCTGGATTATGTGAGTCTCCATTGCCAGATAATCTGGGATGAAAAGATAATCTGGGACCAGATCCAGGGATATAGAACACTGCAGAACGGGCCTGAGGCTGGATCTATATAAGATCCATATAAGATCCAGGGTGTCTGTTTTGAGCTGGCAGTGTGGAGTCCACTCATAACCCAGCTCAAAGCAAATAATGTGGATTCTTTGATTTGTATATTTGTGTGTGAAAGAGAGAGAGAGAGAGAGAGAGAGAGATTGAGGAGCGACACACACATAGCTTCTGGTGTGAGAGAATTGGCCGTCTACAAGGACAGTTGTCCAAGGGACGTTTACCATCCTATGGGAGGCATCTCTCATCTCCCCTCATGAGAAGCTGGAGCTAATAATGTGGATGTTATGGCAGTGTGGCTTCAGACAGAACCCAGCAATTGCCCCAGAAGAGCCCTTTGTCCGCACTGTCTGCCGTCTGCAAGGACGTTCCTCAGGGGATGCCTGGATTTTTTTACCATCCTATTTTTCACCCTCATTTGGGAGGCTTCCCTCATGTCCCACATGAGAAGCAGGATCTAATAATCTGGATTGTATGACAGTGTAGATTCAGACAGAATCCAGCAATTGCCCCAGAAGAGCCCTTTGTCCGCACTTTCTTTCCCTGTTTTGCAATGCGATTTGGGCATCCTTGCCAGAACTCCTCCGCCTTTGCCACTCAGTCCGTTGGAGGCGTTTGCATGCTTGCTCTTCTTTCCCCCTGCGAGCGAGGCATTTCATGACCCAAGGAGAAGTTGGCAGTGGGAAGAAGAGTGAGGAGGAGGAGGAAGAGGAGGAGTTTGAGGTTGAGGTCTAGTGTGGGTTTGATGTGGCGGCGAGGAGGAAGGTGTGTAAGCAAGAAAGGAAGAGAGGTGAGGTGGGTCTCCTTGCGAGAACAAAGGGCCCTTCCACACAGCCCTATCTCCCAGAATATCAAGTCAGAAAATCCCACATTATCTGAATGTGGAATGTCTAGGATGGGAGAAAAGAACTCTTGTTTGCTAGAGTGAATGGTACATTTTGCCACCTTGATGAGCATTTAATTGCCTTATAGCTTCAAAGCCTGTCTGATGGTAGACAGGGGAGGGGATCCTTTGTTTGGAGGTGTTAGCTGACCCTGATTGATTCTTGTCTGGAATTCCCCTGTTTATTTTTTTTTAGTCTTGCTCTTTACTGTCCTGATGCTAGAGTTTTTTTAAATATTGGTAGCCAGATTGTGTTCATTTCCATTGTTTCCTCTTTCTGTTGAAATTGTCCACATGCTTGTGGATTTCAGTGGCTTCTCTGCGTAGCCTGACATGAGTGGTGCAGCATTTCTGTGTTCTCAGATAATATGCTGTGTCCAGGTTGGTTATCTGAGTGTGGACTCAACTAACTCAGTTCAAAGCAGATATTGTGGGATTTTCTGCCTTGATATTCAGGGATATAGGGCTGTGTGGAAGGGCCCAAAGAGAACGGGCTTGGAAAGGGGCTCTCCACCTCCAGAGACAGAAGAGGAACCCAATCCATCCTCCTCCAAGTCGAAGCGAGCCGGCTGGGAGCCCTTGCTTCTCCTGCCCCCCCCCCCCTCCGATCGAGGGCTCCCTCCCCTCCTCCCCGCCTGTCTCCTCGGCCAGCCCTGCCCTGCGTCCCCGGGAGCCACGCGGGGCTTTCTCCCTGCCTACCTGGCACGGCTGGCACGGCGGCGGCGGCGGCGTGGAGGCGGAGGCGGCATCTCCGGCCCATCCGCCAGGCTCTCTCTCGCTCTGCTCTGCGCCGCCTCGCCGCGGCCCCGCCGCCTTTATGGGCGCCACTGTTGACTTTAGCACAAAGCAAAGATTTCCCGAGCCCGCGAGTTTAAAAAAATGAATATTTTACCCAGATATCGATCAGCGTTATAAAATTCAGTTAAAGCACAACGGGGCGCGGAAGAAGTAAAGAGGAAACACACCGCCACCACACACACACCCTTCCCTAACACACACGCACACATCCACCCCCCCGAAGTGCTAATATCTGTGCAAATTGACTGAACTCTCAAGTTCGCCCTCCTGGAATTTGGAGTGAGATTTACTATTGTTGTTATTATTAGTGTTGGTTGTGTTTACGCGCCAGTCGCGCGGGCCTGAAGATCAAGAGGATGGAGTCTGTTGCAAAGTTGCCAACCGGCCTCTCCTTATTTCTGTTTGGAAAACCTGATCCGAGGCATTAAGATGGGGAATCGGGCAACTCAATGACATCTCCCTCCCGAGAAGGGAATCGGGCAACTCAGTGACACCTTCCCCCGCAAAAGGGAATCCGGCAACTCCATGATATCTCTCTCCCGGCTCCCTCATCCCCTCCGCTGGCCCACCCGACATGCCTCCTCTTTTTAAGCCGGCCCGAAGGATATCTTATCAGGCAGCTAAGTGGTTTCCAACGACCGCGGCGCAAAGGGGCAGGTTAGAGCATCCCTTTCGCTCCCCATTGTCCGCCCAATCGCCCCCATCCCGGGCCCCCATTCGGCCTCGCCGCGGGAGCCTTTTATGTGGTAATGAACACACATTTTCCGCTTTGCTTCACAACGTGTGTGTCCTCGCCGAGCCAGGCCCGGATTGTGCAACTCCCTCCCCCCCCCCCCCCCCCCCCCCCCCTCGAGTTAGTCTTTATTTTTCAGCTGAAAGTGTCAAGGAAGCATGTGGGAGCCTTCCTCACAGCCCTATACCCCAGAATATCATGGCAGAAAATGTTATCTGAATCCACACTGCCATATATTCCAGTTCAAAGCAGATAATGTGGGATTTTATTCAGCTGCGTGGAAGGAGCCTGAGAAGACATCAACATGCTTCCCCTGTAAATATAATCTCTCGCCCAGGGTTGAGGTGGCTTCGGCGAGGGTTTGCCTTGTATCTCACAATATCTGCTTTGAAATGGGTTAGCTGAGTCCACACTGCCATATATTCCAGTTCAAAGCAGAGAATGTGGGATTTTATTCAGCTGCGTGGAAGGAGCCAGAGAAGACATCAAAATGCTTCCCCTGTAAATATAAACTCTCGTCCAGGGTTGAGGTAGCTTCAGCGAGACTTATCCCACATTATCTGCTTTGAACTGGAATATATGGCAGTGTGGACACAGATAATCCATTTCAAAGCAGATATTGTGGGAAAGGTCAAGGTAAACACTTGCTGAAGCCACATCAATCCTGGATTGTATTTACAGGGGAAGCATGTTGATGTCTTCTCAGGCCCCTTCCACGCAGCTGAATAAAATCCCACATTATCTGCTTTGAACTGGAATATATGGCAGTGTGGACTCAGATAACTCATCTCAAAGCAGATCTTGTGGGATAAGTCAAGGTGAACGGAAGCCACCTCAACCCTGGATGAGAACTTATATTTACAGGGGAAGCATGTTGATGCCTTCCACGCAGCTAAATAAAATCCCACACGTTCTGCTTTGAACTGGAATAAATGGCAGTGTGGACTCGGATAACACAGTTCTAAGCAAATCTTGTGGAATAAGTCAAGGTAAAGTCTCCCTAAAGCCACCTCAACCCTGGAGGAGAGATTATATTTACAGGGGAAGACATGCTGGTGTCTTCTCAGGCCCCTTCCACGCAGCTGAATAAAATCCTACATTATCTGCTTTGAACTGGAATATATGGCAGTGTGGACTCAGATAACCCATTTCAAAGCAGATCTTGCGGTAAACTTTTGCTGAAGCCACCTCAACCCTAGATTATATTTACAGGGGAAGCATGTTGATGTCTTCTCAGTCCCCTTCCACGCAGCTGAATAAAATCCCACATTTTCTGCTTTGAACTGGAATACATGGCAGTGTGGACTCTAATAACCCAGTTCAAAGCATATATTGTGGAATATTCTGCCTTGATATTCTGGGATATAGGGCTATGAGGAAGGGCCCTGGGTTCTGGAGGAAACAAATACTTTTTTTTAATTTCAGTGACGGAATCTGCTTGCGTTAAATCAGATCAGTGGGATGTCGGATGGAGAATAATCAGATTAGCGGGAAGGCGGGCTTGTTTCGCCCTCGGGTCTTGACAAAGGCATCTGATTTTCTTATTGAGTTGAAAAAGGGAGGGTTACATGGCCAGAATCACTGGGTTACTGTGAGTTTTCAGAGCTGTCTGATAAATAGGAGTAGAACAATTCTGGCCTGTATGTCACCAACAGGATTCCAGTGTTTGTGTGGTATTTTCTCCCAGGTCTCTACCTTGAGTCAGCTACCCCCTTGGCTTAGTGGTGTGGTCTTCATTTATGAGCTTGGTGTGTATGTTTAAAAGGAAACATTTCCCACAGTTCTCTGTCCATGGTCCCAACTTTTGGTTTAGTAAAACAAGAAGTGATGGGAAGCAAAAAGTAATTGGCTTTAAAGAGATAATGCCTAGGCCTCAGTTCTCTGTCTGAGTTAGTTCTTCAGCAGTGTTACTTAGCTGTACAACTTTCAGTCCACCCAGCTAGAAACCAGGTCAATGACAATGAGTAGATATATCTGATTGAGAGGATACTAACTAGAAAGTATTTAAAATGGCCTTCCTTTGTCTGGCAGACCTCAGGAACATTGGGCTGCAGCTCCTACCTTCCTCAGCCTAGCAGCCTGCAGCTAAGAATGATAAGCCAATGGGAAAGGACTATTTTGGATGAATCTGAAAGTTTTAGGTAGTGTTTGATCCAGGGTGCTCAACTTTAACCCCCCAAACTATTTTCAGATAGAATAGGGCCTTTGTTGAAGTTCTGTAGAATGTATGTATATGCCTGAAGAACTTGGCCTCTTTCACCCTATCCAGTTTTGTAGTGTTGTGATTCCACTTTGACTGCTATAGCAATATCTTACAGAATCCTGGGTGTGCAGTTTGGTGGAAATATCAGACAGACTCCCTGACTGAGAATTCAGGTTTCCATGGCAATTAAAACGGAACCATAGCACTACAATTGTGTGGTGTGGAAGGCATATGGTTCTAGCAGTATTGAATTTGGATGGGAATATTTTAATAAATCAAATACAGAAATAATCCTTAGAATGCACTCTTTAACTTGCTTGAAATTTCTCTCTGAGTGATACAATGATGGTCCTGAATCAATCTGTCAACCTTTTGCTTGTGAAACTCAGTGGTTGCTGTCACAGGATGTCCAACTCTTTTGTTTGTCAAGCAAGTCAGATGTTCCCATCTCAACATATTTAAACTTACTCGCCCAACTAAGCACAGTACTCACATCAACACAATCACATAAACAGCTTGCATTCTCTGATTAATCTCCTTTGAGGTGCCACTTTCTGCTCATTGAATTCTGTCAAGAATTCAATGACTGCATGTCTGTGCAGGGTTCCATACTTCGCACTTTAACAACACAACCTCCTGCCAAAATGGAACTGTAGAGGAGTCTACTGAATAAGCCAGTATCTGCTGCATACCAGTATTGCCATCTGTTGAGGAGTTACGAAGGTGGAGGCATAACTTTTCATTCAACCCTCAACCCAAGTAGATTTTCTTCATTGTTTTGGCCATCTTAAACCTTGACAAAGGGAGACCCATTAATTTGATATTATTGACAGGAAAGCTTGTACTCCTATGCATTCTTGTTGGTCAGCAATAACAGAGGACTGCAAAATCTAGTAACATATTTCAGACACTCTTCTTAGTCAAAGTCTATTTAATTCAAAGGATTGGGTTGTTAATATGATACCAAAGATATTTGCCTGAAGGATACTTGCCCGAATGTGATGTGTAAAACCTGCTTTGGTCTTCAGGTGTAGGATAGGTTCACACCTACAAGTCACCCCGAGATAAGCCACATATACTACATTTAGGGCCCTGCATAGCCAGACTTCCTGTCCTGACAAAAACAGGTGAAGTCCCAGCAACCTGTGGCTTTCCAGCTGCTTCAGACTTCAACTCCCAATTGTCCCTCCTCACCAGACCACTGTGGGAAATGTTTCCCCTAACAGCTGTGGGGTCAAAGGTTGGCCAAGCATGGGAAACCTGGCTATTTTATTCGCAAGTAAGTTATGTGGAATTTGGAGAACCTTATCCTCAGCTCTGTGTGTCTATATAGCAGTGGTTCTCAACCTGTGGGTCCTCAGGTGTTTTGGCCTACAACTCCCAGAAATCCCAGCCAGTTTACCAGCTGTTAGGATTTCTGGGAGTTGAAGGCCAAAACATCTGGGGAACCACAGGTTGAGAGCCACTGCTATATAGGACTATGCAACAAGGTAGAAATCAGTCAGGTCCCTCTGCCTATACAGCAAAGACACTTCTGGGGCCCCAAGCCTGGGGATATGTTTAGTGTAATGCTTTGAGTGTTGGACCATGACTCTGGAGATCAGGATTCGAAGTGAAACCTTGTGCAAGCCACACTCTCTCAGCCTCAACAACTCTCTCACACCCATTAGCAACCCATATCTGAACTCAGTTTTGAACATCAGAGTAAATGTACAAAATATTGCACTATTAGAAGGCAACGAAATCTCATCCTGAATGGAATGTATCCATTTTAATCTCATTGCCTAAGGAAGCATTGGTTAAGTGTATAAGGCCACATCTACACAGTTTGAAACTACATTATATGTTCAGAGTAGACTCATATAAGGTGGTTTAATTGCACTAAATGAGTCTACACTGCCCATATACAGCCGGTCGCCAAGTTACACACAAGACAGGTTCTGTAGGTTTGTTCTTAAGTTGAATTTGTATGTAAGTTGGAACAGGTACTTTTTAAAGTGTAATTCCAGCCAAATAGATCTAGATATATAGATCTAGATAGCTTTGGGAAGCATATGGAAGGGTTAACACCCTTGGCCTTCCTGAGTGTTTGTTTTGCTGTCTGTGCCCCTCTTCAAAAGATTTCACCTCACTTTCTGACCCAGTGATAATTGGATTTTGAAAAATGTGGCTTGTTGTGGAAACAAGGATTGGTGATAAAGCTTCAGTGGAGACACCTTTCCACCATGATAACTCTTTCAGGAGTGAGTTTCCCTTCCTAGGGGTCGATTTCTTTCACTTCCTGTTGTCTCACAGCTGTCCTTAACTATGAGTCATTTGTAAGTCGGATATTTGTAACTTGGGGACAGCCTGCATTGCATTTTCAAAATGCATTATATGGCAGTGTAGATGGGGTCAGAAATAAAGCACACCTGGATGCTTTAAAGCTGCAGTCCCAAACAAGCTTACCTGGAAACAGAGGCCTAATGGAAACAGGGCTGGAAGGGTGTAGGGGCTTTAGGACCAGAAGAAAGGAGGATATTTTCAGACTTGTTTTAATAGCTGGAAGAAGTTTCACCAGAAGGTGCTATTATAAGTTGTCTCTAGTTAAAAGGGAGATGGAGCAGCAGAGATACCTGAATGTATTCACTTATATTACAAACCTATATGTTGGTCTCAAGATTCATATTGACTTTTCCACCCAAAATATCATATTGTCAATAAATAAAAACTTGGTGCCATGGCTAAGGAAGTTTTGTGTTTCTTTTTCATCAGTGAACATATAATAAATAATAATAATAATAATAATAATAATAATAATAATAATAATGGCAACAACAACGCACTCTCACCATGTGATAATCTGTTTTACAAGATGCATGAATGAGTGAGGGCCCTTCCACACAGCCATATAACCCAGAATATCAAGGCAGAAAATCCCACAATATCTGCTTTGAACTGGGATAGCTTAGTCCACATTGCCATATATTCCAGTTCAAAACAGATAATGTGGGATTTTATTCAGCTGTGTGGAAAGGGCATGAGAGAATGAGAAGGAAGCCCGTTGAGTAACCTCCTTCTAATGATGTTGAATATTCAGAAGCCGAGACAAAAGCGAGTTGTAATATCTTCAAGGATCTCTGTCTATAAAATTCACCCAATTTAAATATGCCTAAAGCGGATCTCTACTTTTAGGCAGGCGTAATTCCAAGCATATGTAGTAGGAAACGATTTAATTCAGCAGGATTTGCTGGGCCAGCCCTGGATAGTATTGGATGGGAGACTTCCAAGAAAGGTTATATTTCAGAAGAAGGAATACAGGTGGTCCACAAGTTAGGAACAAGATAGGCTCTGTAGGTTTGTTCTTAAGTTGTATTTGTTTGTAACTACACACACACATATGACCCCCCCCCCCCCCAAGTGGGGTAAACTGCTGAGCTGCTAAACTTGTTGACCTTTGAAGCTGGGAGCTGTGTGAGCTTCCGCTGTCAGCCCCAGCTTCTGCCAACCTAGCAGTTCGAAAACATGCAAATGTGAGTAGATCCATAGGTACCACTCGGTGGGAAGGTAACCGAGCTCCATGCCGGCCACATGAATTTGGAGATGTGTATGGACAATGCCGGCTCGGCTTAGAAATGGAGATAACCACCAACCCCCACAGTCCAACATGACTGGACTTAATGTAAGGGAAAAACCTTTACCTACTATACACACACACACATTAGCTTTGGATAGTATAGAGAACATGAACACCCTGTGGTGTTTCCTTTGCTGACTGTGCCCCTGTACAGAAGATTTCACCTCATTCTCTGTCCTTATGATAATTTGATTTTTTAAAAAATTGCTTTGTTGTGGAAACAAGGATTAGTTACAACACCTTTTTTCCATGATAACTCTTTCAGGAGTGTTTTTCCCTTCCAAGAGATAGATTTCTCTCACTTCCTGTTGTTTCACCCCGTCCTTAACGATGAAACTCGGGTGTTTGTAACTCGGGACTGTTTCTATAGGCAAAATCACTTCTGAATATCCCTTGACTTAACATGACTGAGCTATATGTAATTGTCCATTTCACAGATGAAATGCTAGTTTTATTTTTCTGGTGACAAATAGATCTTGTTCTGAATTATGAATTTCTGTGCCTCTGTGTACAATATTTTTAACATTCTGATATCCCAAATCTGAGAGTATTTAAAATGTTTCGAGTGCCATTGCAATGAATAAAATAAAATAAAAACTGTGAAACTTGGGGTGTTATTGCAACTTTAATAGCACCGGCTGAGTCTCTTATCTGAAAAGTTTGGGACCAGAATTGTTTTAGACATTGCAATTTCCTGTTTCATATATGTGTACAAGGAGATAACTTGGGGTGGAATTCAAGTCTAAAAGCAAAATTAATTTATTTTTCATATATACCTTATGCACAATCGTTTTAATAACTTTATGGATGAAAGAAAGTTTGTATACAATGAACCATCTGGAAACAAAGGTCTCACTCAGCTATCCATGTGGACAATTTTGGATTTTTGGAGTATTTTGGAAATTGGAATTCTGTATTCTGCAGTATACATGAACAACATTTTCCAGCAACATATCCAAAGAAAAATATCTGTTTTTAATCTGATTGATTAAAACAATAATCTTCAGAATGCCTTCTACCCATTTATGACTATGATCATATTTTAAACAATAATTCAAAGAATTATTAACCTAGTATTTAAAATTAGAGAACATTTCATAGTATCTCTGTTTCCCATTAAATGCTACCTCATTCAGAACTCCTAAATGCTTTTTTTCTGAAAAGTTTTTGTTGGCATTGCTTCTCTCTGTGTTATGAGAAGAAAAGAGAAACTTACAGTGCCGTCCATTATTTTTCTTCCCAGAAGGAATATCCACTGCTGGAGGTTACGGACGCAAGAGAGTTGTAGTTTCACAAGGTCTTTAGCCTTCTCCGCCGAAAGTACTGTTCGTAGGATCAATACATAGAAGATTTAGCACTTGAACTGTGAGTCTAGCCTTCCATTCCTAGTCTACACATTTACTTAGCCTCCGCCCCCCCCCCGCAACGTTCTTGCAGACGGCCAATTCTCTCACACCAGAAGCGACTTGCAGTTTCTCAAGCTTCTGACGCACAAAAAACAAACAAACAAAAAAACCTCGAGTGGAAGTAGACATATTGAGTGTGCTGTTGCTCGGGAGTAAAGAAGCATCTCATTGACAAGGGTGAGACTTTCTGCATTTACAATAACTGTAGGAGGTCCTGATAAAACACAGAGAGGCGAGAATATATTACACAGTAAAACAAGCAAAAAATTATTGGTACCTTGGTTTTTAGGTCTGTTCCTGGGGTTATTTGGGGCGCTGATTCAGAACATTGTATTGGATAGACTGCATCAACTCTAGTTTCTTAGATTATGGTAATTTTCTGTAGGGAGCAGATGGCTAGGTGGCATATGTTCTGTATCGCAAAAGCTAGAGCTGATAGGGGGAAACTGGGGCCATTTTTGGAATCAGTAAGTGAAATATACCCAGAGATAGGTCTAAGATTTAGGGCATCGGTGTTCTATATCTATTATTTTCTACTAGTCGTCCCCTGCCACGTGTTGCTGTGGCGCAGTCTGTGTATATTTACGTATGTATGTGTATATGTGTATATATGTTGTTTTGCACATGCGTTGTAATGTAAATTTTGTTTTTTGGCTTTCAAAGTCTCTTCCGCTGTGTTTTTCAGTGTTTTTATTAGTGATCGTCACTCGTTGGCCTGATAGGGGTATTGTGTCCAAATTTCGTGTCCATTCGTCCAATGGTTTTTGAGCTATGTTAATCCCACAAACGAACATTACATTTTTATTTATATAAATCCCATTGAATCAGCTGCTGCGCCCCTCAATTTTATCTAAATTGAGAGGCGCAGCAGCTGATTCAATGGGATTTACTTCCACACATCTGAATAAAGCCCCACATTTTTTTGCTTTGAACTGGGATATATATATATACTCAGATAACCCAATTCAAAGCAGATTTTGTGGGATTTTCTGCCTTGAGATTCTGGGTTATATGGCTGTGTGGAAGAGCCTTGAGACAACGCAAAGAAATGCAACTTCAAATCATGGTTTGTGCGACATATGGTTTCTCTTTTACCCCTTTGCCATAAGAAGAGGGTGATGATAGTGGCATCCTTGAAATCTGCTGGGATTTTCTCGGTCATCCAAACTTTTTCTATGAGCTGGTGGAGTTGGTGTGTCAGCTGGGGTCCTCCCTCTTTAAAGATTTCAGCAGGGATCCCATCCAGTCCGCTGGCTTTGTTATTTTTTTTGTTGGTTGATGGCATTGCTGACTTTTTCCAAACTAAACCGATCTCGTCCCAAGGCATGTACGCCACGGAATAAAATAATGAAATTCTAATATTCCTAGGAAGGGATTTTTAAAATAATAATAATAATAATAATAATAATAATAATGGAGAAGGAACCCTTCAACCTCTGAGGGTGCTTGCCATAGATGTGGGCGAAACGTCAGGAGAGAATGCTTCTGGAACATGGCCATACAGCTCGGAAAACTCCCAGCAATCCAAAGATTCCGGCCACGGAAGCCTTCGACAACACATTGAATCTCCAACAGCATTTTAATATAGGGTCGTGGGGGGTTTGGTGGGTCGTTACCAGAATACAGGTTCAAAAGCCATAAATAAAGCATACAGAAACGATAAATTAATTCGATCCGAGAGTCGTTTTCCCTTTCCCGGTCACATCAAACCCTTCGCGGGTGAAATCACAACCCCAAAGTCCTTCATTTCTCTCTCTCTCTCTCTTCCCCCACGACTTCGACAGTCTTTGATCCCGTTTCCAAATCTAGCATGGGTTCACACACACACACACGCGCGCGTACACTCAGTTCGGCCTCACTGCCACACACCCCAAAAATAGATATATACTTATAAGAACTCCCTGCGACTGAAAGGAAAGAAAAAAAAAACGTACGAGGAATCGCATAAAGGAAAGAAACCTCGAAGGAAATCCGACGAAGAGTCCCGGGAGAAGGATTCTCCTTTCCCACGGCTTTGGGACACCGACATCCCCTCCCCACACCTTCCCCCCCCCCCAAGTCAAGGAGAAAGAGCCGCGGGAGAGGGCTTGGAAAGTTACAGAACAGCAAACATGGACTCAACGCGGAGGGCAAGAGGCCAAAGGTTAGTGTTTTCTCCCCTCTCCTAGAAACATTTTTCCCCTCACAAACTTTTTTTGTCCCAGTCCTCTGGACTTTTGTTTTGCGTGGGTGGGGTAATGGGTCGCTTTCTGGGCCCCAAGTTCCTTCCCTCCCAGCAAAGTCTTGACTAGAGGGGAGAAAGAAAGAAAAAAGCGAACCCACGCGTGTCCGTGTCCCTGCGTGGAATCGAGGTGGATGCGTGGGCAGGGGGTGGGAGGGCTGCCGTCTCTTTAGGACGAGTTCATGATGGGCCTGGCGTAGACCCCTTGGTAGTAGGCGGCGTCGGGCCCCAGGGGCGAGGCCTCGAGGGCGCTTTTGTTCGTGACGGGGCCCATGCCCAGGCTGCCGGCCACGGGCGAGCCGTAGCTGGTGTAGTGCATGACTTGCTCGTAGGCCTTGAGGTCCATTTTGTGGTGGGCGTGGGGCACGTGCTGGTGCGGGTGGGGGTGCTGGTGCGCGTGGGGGTGCGCGTGGGCGTGGGGCACGTGCTGCTGCTGTTGCTGCTGCTCCGGCGAGGACATCAGGTTGGTGATGGAGAAAGGGTGGTTGAAGGCGTAGTGGTGCTCGGCCTTGAGGTGGGCCTCGTGGGAGAGCCCCGCGTGGGCGGCGTGATGCTGGGCCAGCATGTGTTGCTGCTGTTGGGCGGGCGACGGGGAGGGCTCCGGGTGGCCTTTGAGCTCGCTCAGGCCGCGTTTGTGCTCCTGGCAGGGCGAGACGCTTGCGTGGGGCGACTCCGGGGTGCCGTTGGGCTCCTGTGGGGCGGACTGAGCGGGGGGCTTCTTCCCGGAGCCCCCCGAGGACGACGAAGAGGCTGCCGGGGAGCCGCTTTGCCCCTGTTGCTGCTGTTGTTTGGGACCCGGCGGCTTATCACACTTGAAGCGCTTCTGCCTCCGGAGGTAGCACCCGTTCTCGAACATGTTCCCGGAGTCCGGGTGGAGGGTCCAGAAGGAGCCCTTGCCGGGCTTGTCGGGAGACCGGGGCACCTTGAGGAAGCAGTCGTTGAAGGAGAGCGAGTGGCGGATGGAGTTCTGCCAGCGCTGCTGGTTCTGCCGGTAGAAGGGGAAGAGGTCCATGATCCACTGGTAGATCTCGCTCAGCGTCAGCATCTTATTGGGCGACTGCTGGATGGCCATGGTGATGAGGGAGATGTAGGAGTAGGGCGGCTTGGCGTGCGTGTAGCTCCGGCGGTAGCTCTTGGCGTCGCGGGCCCGGGACAGGCCCACTCCCACGGGGCCCTGCCCTCCTCCGCCGCCGCCTCCGCCGCCGTAAGGGCCCCCTCCGCCGCCCACGGGGCTCAGGGCCGAGTAGGCGCCCATAGAGCCCGCCCCGGCGCCCAGAGGGCTCAAGCCGGAGGGGCTCAGGTGGGCCGCCATGCCAGCCATGCCCCCCGCGCCCGGGGACAGGCTCATGCCCCCCGCGTAGGCCATGCCCATGGAGGAGCCGCCCGAGGCCGCCGCCGCCATGTTGCCCGCCGCCATGCCCATGTAACTGTTCATGCCCAGGCCGGCGTTCATGCTGGAGTAGCCCTGCAGAGGAGGAGACACGGGTGGGGAGAGGAAAGCAAGAAGGGAGCCATTAGCCTGGAAGGCAACTCCAAATGTTTATATCTTTGTGAAATGTCCAGGGTGGGAGAAAGAACTCTTGCCTGCTGGAGGCAAGTGTGGATGTTGCAATTGGCCACCTTCAATGGCTTTGCAGCTTCAAAGCCTAGCTGCTTCCTGCCTGAGGGGATTACTTTGTTGGGAGGTGTTAGCTGCCTTGGTCACCATCCCCCCCCCCCCCCAGTTGATAATGATAACCCATTTTCCTAGTTCCAACAGACCTCACTACCTCTAAAGATGCTTGCCATAGATGCAGGTGAAATGTCAGGAGAGAATGCCTCTAAAACATGGCCATATAGCCCGAAAAAACCTACAACAACCCGATAATGATTCTGTCCCCATCTTTTGGAACAGAACACAATCTGTTCCCCAGCAGGCGCCCCATAGCTTTACTATAAGGCCCCGCAGGCTGTGAAGCTCCAACCCACCAAGGAAGTCAACCTGGACACCCCACAGGTATCTATACTCCACTCGCTTGACTACAATCAGATCCTCTGAAGATGCTAGCACAGATGCCGGAGGAAATGTTCAAGCTTCATTTCCATACAGCCAGGAAACCACACAACACCCCAACCTGGACAAAGTTCCGCATTCTCCAGCCATAAAAGCCCACACATGCCTGGGTCCCCTTCTACTTCCGTATACAATCCAGATGATCTGCTTTGAACTGGATTGTATGGCAGTGTAGACTCATATAATCCAGTTCAAAGCGGATCATGTTGATAATCTCGATTGTACGGCAGTGTAAAATGGGTCTGGATCGGGTCCACGGACCCCCAAACCCGCCTGGTTCGACACTCGCCATTGGAACCCTGTCCAAAGCTTCCACTCAGGACTGTATACTGAGTGGAAGCAGTAGTATACAGGGTGAGGAGGGAAAAAAGAGTTTCCCTAACTTCACTGTCTTCACTAGGAGCCCCCGTGGCGCAATGGGTTAAACCCTTGTGCCAGCAGGGCTGCTGACCGACAAGTCGCAGGTTCGAATCCGGGGAGCAGGGTGAGCTCCCTTCTGTCAGCTCCAGCTTCTCATGCAGGGACATAAAAGGAGCCTCCCACAGGATGGTAAAATATCCGGGTGTCCCCTGGGCAACGTCCGTGCAGACGGCCAATTCTCTCATACCAGAAGCGACTTTCTCAAGATGTTCCTGACACAAAGAGAGAATAAAGACATCCGAGAGAGAATAAAATCGGTATAAAATTAAACATCATTGATCATAACACAATGTTCCCTTGGGGAGAGAGGGCGGGTTACAAATAAAGTTTTATTATTAGTATTATTATTGGGTTGTAAGTTTTTCGGGCAGTGTGGCTATATTCCAGAAGCATTCTCTCCTGACGTTTCGCCTGCATCTATGGCAAGCATCCTCAGAGATTGTGAGGTCTTACAACCTCTGAAGATACCTGACACAGATACAGATAAAACGTCGGGAGAGAATGCTTCTGTAACACGGCCAAACAGTCCGAAAAACTTACAACCCAGTGATTCCGGCCATGAAAACCTTCGACAATACATTATTATTATTAGTAGTATTATTAGTGTTATTATTATTTAGTTTTTGTCTTTGTTGTTGTTGTTATTCCTGGGCTATCAATGTCTTTCCTAATCGGTTCTATCATTAAAAACGTAGGAAAAGCTTATAAAATTGCAAAAACTTGTGTTTTTGCGGGACATCCTCCAGCACACCTTGGATTGTTTTTCAGTGAATACTCATTAGAGTCTCAACCAATTCAGCCTAGTTTGTGGCAGCCACAAACCCGAAGTTTCTGGAGTGTAACAACTGCTTTCCAAGTAAGTAGTACCGCACAATGAAACAGGACACAACACTCTCAAACCAGGAACAGAACCTTTTGCAAATTTTGTTAAATAGTGATATTAATGATCAGCATTCGCAAGGCTTGCTTAAACAGCCTGTATGTATCAGGAGCGACTTGAGAAACTACAAGTTGTTTCTGGTGTGAGAGAATTGGCCGTACTGAAGGACGTTGTCCAGGGGATGTTTTACCATCCTGTGGGAGGCTTCTCTCATGTCCCCCCATTAGAAGCTGGTGCTGACATACGGGAGCTCACCCTCTCCCTGGTTCCGCAGTCCTGCCGGCTCAAGGGTTTATTTATCTATTTATTTACTATGGACATTTATGCCCCCCCTCCTATCTCAACCTCAGCAGAGGGATTGCGCCATGGGGGCTCCTGACTTTCTGTTTGGTGAAGCACAGCTGAAGCATTGTCTGCAGAGTTCACTACAAAGCCTGCGCGTCGGATTGGTGTCTATGGATAGCATTCAGAAACCTTTTCCCTGTTGCTAAATTTTGGGTGATCCCAACACTGAGCGAAAGGGATCAGGAAGCTGGGTCCAAAAGACAATGGCAGCATCTTTATATGAAGAGAAGTGGGTTGTTTCGTGTTTTTTGCTCTCCTGGCATAAGCCCTCCTAACATATTGCATGCAACTCTGAGATCTCCTCAAAATTTGGAAACAACTTGTTTAAAAAACAGAAGAAATTGTGATATGAATGGAATTTTACATACCACAATATCACTTTATATCCTAGCCATGAAATATTTATAATGTTTCAGATTGTTTGCATTGACATAGATTTTGTATGTCATGGTCAATATACTTCTCAGCCAAAGGCTGAGAAGCCAAAGTCAACATTTCTGGCATCTACACTGCCATATAATTCAGATGACCAAAACACATTGTCTGGATTATATGAGTCTATACTGCTATATAATCCAATTCCAAAGCAGATAAGGATTTTATATGGCGGTGTAGAAGTGGTCTCTCTCCCCCTCGATTAAATGCCAAAACGTGCCTGGATCGTGTCCATAGTTAGCTTCTGGTCCGCAAAGGCACCTAACTGAGGCTGGTTCTCCATTGGCCAATAATGCAATTTAAATGATCAAGGTAGACCCATATATCTTGCAATTCAAACAGCATCATATGGTTCTCCCCTGAGCATTTAATGTTGTTCAAACTACATTACTGGTCAGAATCTATGGCTGGTATTATATGACAGTATAGGGTTGGATCTACACTGCAGATTAACGCTATTGAACTGGATTATCTAAAACTACACTGCTATAGAATCCAGTTCAATGCAGTGAGTTAATCTGCATTCCGAAACGGCATTATATGGCAGCGTCCATCCAGAATGAAAGAAAGCGTGAAAGAATAGGACCTGGGTGTTAATCCCACCTAAGTGGGATTCCAGTTTTCTTAATAGCTTGGGTTCCCACTCTTCCCGTTTTAAATCTCAATTCTTTTTCAGTGGGAGGTCGCCTATTAAATGTTTAGGATCGAGATTGGGAGGGTGCGGACGGGGGGGGGGGGGGGAGGTAAAGGAATCAGGTGGAAACATCAAAAGCTGGTTTATAGGTTTCGGAAGAAGGTCAGGTTAAGATCCCTAATGCACCTTGCTAAGGAGAAAACACCTCACTACCTCTGCCATAGATGCAGGCGAAACGTCAGGAGAGAATGCCTCTAGAACATGGCCATATAGCCCGCAAAAACCTACAACAGCCTAGAAAATAGGTTGACCGGGAAGGAAGGGCATCTGAGACCAATGAGACTTCTTTCCCATGTGTTTAGAACTGGAGAAGGAAACGGAAGCTGCAGTTTTTCCAGCTGGACTTGGAGAGTCTACTCTTCCCAAGTGTGTAATGTTAGCACAGCGAGCCGGATCTAAGACGGCAAGTTGCCTTCCGATGTGTCTTTCCATCCACTGGGTTGGAGGATTGGGTTTCAAACCGAAGTGGAAGTGGAAGTGGCGTGAAACTTTTCCGCCAGGATGTTGGAAAATGTAGGATATCGGGCAAAAGTCCTTGTGGGGCGAAGGAGAAAGTTCAGGTGGGAAGTGTTCCCCTTCCACCTTGGTGACTTCCCCACTCGAGGTTGGCCATCCTCCCTCGTCCCCCCGCTTTCCCCGTTTCCTTCTACCTCCCCCCATGCCCTTCCTCCCCCCCCCCCATCCCCAAACCCAACCTCTCTCTCTGCCAAACACAACTTTGTTAGGATAGCGCGGCTAGGCATGGCAAAAGGATTTGGAGGCTTCGCAAGTCAATATTTGATCACAAAGTTAATATTATCTCAAGGCTAACACCGCGTTGTATAAAAAGCGGGCGAGGGAGAGCGGCGGCGAGGGAGTCCTGTGTGTTTTTTTCCGCAGGAGGAGGCGGCTTGGGGATTGGGTGGGGGACCCACACACAAACACACACAGAGAGAGAGACCCACAGAGAGAGAGAGAGAGAGAGAGAGAGAGAGAGAGAGGCACATCCGCGCGCAAACAAGACCCGCGTTGCCATTTACCTCGGGCTCGCCGTAGTAGTTGCTCCACTCCGCGTGCTCGTGTCCTTCCATTTTCACGACTCCCAGCATACTGGAAGCGGAGTGCATGGCAGTTTAAAATTTAACAGCCACAACAAGCGGCGACGGAGGGGGAGAGAGAGAGAGAGAGAGAGAGAGAAGGAGAGAGAGAGCGCCACCAAAAAAAAGAGGGAGAGAGAGGGAGAGAGAGGAAAACAGCCCCCTCCCTCTTTGCCTCCCTCCCTCCTTTTCCCTCTCTCTCTCTCTCCCTCCCTTTCTTGCTCCCTCCCTCGATCTGGGGGGAAAAGAGGGGGGCGAACTCGCTCAGCTTTGGGGGTTCTCCCTGCTGGCGATTTCGACGCCTTGCTGCTGCCGCTTCGGCTACTGCTTGGGTGGGTTTCGCCGGGAAGAGTCGCCCAGAGCCGAAGGCAAGGCGAGGAGGAGAAGGGAGGGAGGAGGAGGAGGAAGAGGAGGAGGAGGAGGAACCCAAGTGCTGCAGTGACGTGGGCGCCGGAGAGATATAGCGGCCGGCGGCCAAGCGAGCCTCCAATCCCCAGGTCCTCACCCAGCCATTTGAATAAGCAGCAGCTCCCCGCCTGCCTCGGGATTCCCTCGCCCCCCTTTCCCCTTTCCCCTCTTCTATGGGCCCTTCCAAACGAGCCTATGTCCCAGAACATCAAGGCAGAACATTCCACAAGATCTGCCTTGAAATGGGTTATCTGAGTCCATACTGCCATATATTCCAGTATTGTGGGAGACACCAAATTGGGAGGGATAGCCAGTACTCCAGAAGGCAGCAGCAGAATTCAAAACGATTTTAACAGATTAGAGCAGGCGTCCACAAACTTTTTAAACAGAGGGCCAGATCACAGTTCCTCAAACTGTTGGAGGGCCGGATTATAATTTGAAAAAACGTGAATGAATTCCTATGCACACTGCACATATCTGATTTGTAGTGCAAAAAAAAAAAACCACTTAAAAACAATACAATGATTAAAATGAAGAACATTTTTAACAAATATAAACTTATTGGTATTTCAATGGGAAGTGTGGGCCTGCTTTTGGCTGATGAGATAGAGTTGTTGTTCAGTTCTTGTGAGTTTTTGTTGTTGTTGTTGTTGTGTGCTTTCAAGTCATTTCAGACTTAGGTTGACCCTAAGTGAGGGCCAGGTAAATGACGTTGGAGGGCCTTGGAGGGCCATATCCGCCCGCCCCCCCTAGTTTGAGGACCCCTGGATTAGAGAGATGATTGGCCAAAACTAAGAAAATGAAGTTCAACAGTGACAAATGCAAGAAACTCCACTTAGGCAGAAAAAATGAAATGTAAAGATACAGAATGGGGGACTCGGTGTGAAAAAGATCTTGGAGTCCTCATGGACAACAAATGAAACTTGAGCCAACAATGTGATGCTGCCGCAAAAAAGCCAATGGGATTTTGGCCTGCATCAATAGGAGTCTAGTGCCAAGATCCAGGGAAGTCATGCTACCCCTCTATTCTACCTTGGTCAGACCACACCTGGAATATTGTGTCCAATTCTGGGCACCATAATTGAAGGGAGATGTTGACAAGCTGGAATGTGTCCAGAGGAGGGCGACTAAGAATGATCAAGGGTCTGGATAATGTGGGATTTCCTGCCTTGATATTCTGGAATATAGGGATGTGTGGAAGGGCCCTAAGAGCCTTAGGTCCCTTCCCAGTCCTGACCCCACACTTTAATTTTCAATGTTCAGGTCCCAAGAACATTTGGCAAATGTCAAACTTTTCTCAACTGTCACCTAGTGGCTGTTTTAGGCACTGGCATGAATCCCTTGTGCTGTGTTTCCAGTGGACTCTGCAGCAGATGCTTGAGCTGTACTTCATAAAAAGGAAACCGGCCTGTTTAGTAAGCCTTGCAAATACTATCGTCAATGTTGGGGTTTTATATATCTATATATTCTATATATATATATTCCTATACCTATTTTATATATCTATATATTCCCTGGGGTCACATAAACATTTCTTGGTGTCCAGAGTGGAAAAGTTGAAGAAGTCCTGAGCTAAGAGATTTTCAAGGCTGACAGACACCCCTTCTACACTGCCATATAATTCAGGGCCCTTCCAGACAGACCCTATATCCCTGGATCGGATCCCAGGTTTTCTGTTATCCCAGATTATCTGGCAATGTGGACTCATATAAAGCTGAAAACCTAGGATTGGATCCTGGGATATAGTGCCTTCTGCAAGGACCCTCAGATTTTCAAGGCAAATAATCCGGATGATCTGTTTTGCACTGGAACAGTGCTAAACAGAACCGCCTTCCATCTGGAAACCATTGTATTCACTGTGGAAGAACATGCAGGTCTAGAATAGGTCTCCACAGTCACCTATGGACCCACGCCACAACCCTATGCTTAGAAGTCCATCCTACTCAGACTCGCAGTGATCCCCAATGGTGATGATTATGACTACCATATAATTCAGTTCAAATCAGATTGTCTGGATTTTATATGGGGCCAGAAATTCAAACCCAGGGCTCCTGGGACTAACACTCAAACCACTAACTCTCCAGTACAGTAAATGGTGTGTTGACCCCCGACCTACAACAGGGTTTTGTTGGCCAGGTTTATTCAAAGCAGGTTTATCCTTGGGGTTGAGAGAATATAATTTGCCCAAGGTTGCCCAGTGGGTTTCCATGGCTAACTTTCCTCCTCATAGTCCAACACTCAAGCCTCTACACCACATTGTTTCCCTGTAAAAGTGAAAATAAAGGAGTTGTGGGTGCATTTTTCCTACTTATTCAGACACTTTGAAGTAGTAGACTCAGGACCCTTCTTCTTCCAGGCCTGATCTGAGCCCTTGCAAATGCTATGGCTTGTACTAAGTTAATTGTGAAGGAAGCTGGTTGACAACACCAGCATCATGAGTCCCAATTTACTCCTTTAAAATATCTGATGGTCCCCTTCCAGACAGGCCCTATATCCCAGGATCTGATCCCAGGTTTTCTATTTATCCCAGATTATCTGGCAGTGTGGACTCATATAATCCGGTTTAAAGCAGAAAACTTGGGATGGGATCCTAGGATATAGGGCCTGTCTGGAAGAGGGTCATCGGTTATTTTAAAAGGGTTAATTTGATGCTCATGATGTTGGTGATGTCAACCAGCTCCTTTCCCAATTAATTTATTACAAGCCATAGCATTTGCGAGTGCTCAGATCAGGCCTGAAAGAGGAAGAAGGGGAGGGAGGGAGGGAGGGAGGAACGTTGACTTTTTTCTTTCAATATAAAATAATAAACTCTGAAGAGACCTGGGAAAGTGCAGCTCACTACCCAGAGCCAGCATGCCTCACAGAGGAACAATTGATACTAATCACACTAAAAACACAGTACTGTGGCAGCTTCAAATACATTGTGTGTGTGTGCTTTCAAGTCACCCATCTGTTTAAGTGAATTCTATAGGGTTTTAAATACTCAGAGGCGGTTTGGCCAGATCCTTCCACTGAAATGGAGTCGGCTCTTTGAAAAGTTGGGCACACACTTTTCAGATGTGCGGAGGGCTCCGTGCTTCGGTTTCAAGGGCTTTGGGAAAATCCCATGTCTTGAAGATGCTGTTTTTGTTGCTCTCTCTCCGCCCCACCTTCTGGAAATGGTATGACTCTATCAGAATAATTACCCACCATTGTCTTCAGGATGCCTCTCTAATCACTTCATCACACTAGAGAATAAATCCATTTAAAATCCGGTTGCTGCCTCCTGCAGAATTCTGGGATTTGTAGTTTAGGAAGGAGCCTTTAACAGCCTACACACCCCAGAATTCTGCAGGAGGCAGAAACCGGATTTAAAGTGGATTCAGTCTATAGTGTGATGAAGTTCTAAAAACCGTGACCGGCCAGTTAGTGGAGAAACCGGAATGGAGCCTCTATGTCCAAGAGCAGCATACCTGGGTGGTTGCTCTGGCAATGCTTTGGGCAATCTCCACTCCTGACCCCTTTAAAGTGACTCCAGGTATATAAAATAGGTATAACATCCAACATTAATGCTAACAGTAAGTAATATTTTTCCTAGTTCCAACAGACCTCGCTACCTCTGAGGATGCTTGCCATAGATGCAGGCGAAACGTCAGGAGAGAATGCCTCTAGACCATGGCCATATAGCCCGAAAAAACCTACAACAACCCAATATTTTTATAAATAAGTTCTGTTCCTGGTTTGAAAGTGCTATTTCCTGTTTAATTGTATGGTACTTACTTTGAAAGTAGTTGTTATACTCCAGAAACTTCGCTTTTGTGGTGACCACAAACTATGTTGAGTTGGTTGAAACTGGATGATATATTCATGGAAAAACTAGAGCAAAATGTGCAGCAGGATGTCCTGCCTCCCCCAACACCCTTAACATCATGTTAAACAGGCTAGTTTCCCATCACACTAGAGAGAGAAAAATCCACTTAAAATCCGGTTTCTGCCTGCTGCTAAAAGCTCCTTCCTAAACTACAAATCCCAGGATTCTGCAGGAGGCAGAAACCGGATTTTAAGTGGATTTCTTCTCTAGTGTGATGATCTAGTTAGTGAAGTACAGCTGAAGCATTTTCTGCAGAGTCCACTCTGAACTCTGCATGATGTTGCTAACAAGTTTGTGCATTCAGAAAGTTTGCTCCTGTTGCCTAAGTTTTCGGGGCCTTAACATTGAGCTGAGGTGCCCCCATTTGGGGTCGGACTCGGGACCTCCCCCTCCCCCAGTTTCAGAAGCAATGCCCCCAGCCGCCCTCTCCCCAGGACGTTGCAAGCGAGCCAGGCTCTTTACCTTGGTGCCACCTGCAAGATTTCGTAACTAAAACAAACAGCTTTCGAGTCTCTCAGTCGGGGCCGTTTCGGGCAGGCACCAAACTGACGAGTGAGAAGGGGGGGAGGCTCTCTCTTTCCGCCATTCAGCCGCCCTCCTGAACAATGTCCTGCCCCACGTCGCTTGCCCAACCGCTGGCATCGAAAACGAAGCCAGGAAGCCAACCTGGAAGCCGGCGGCGGGGTCGAAGGAAGAAAGGAAGCAAGCAAGCAAGCAAGAAGTCTCCCAGCAACGGAGACCGCAGGTGACTGGCAGCCAGGGCGAGGTGGCG